GGCTAGGGCTGCCCCCCCATGTGGCCCAAACCAAATGTATGTGCGGCCCAAACCAAATTTTCATCTTCTAATGTGGCCCAGGGAAGGTGAAAGGTTGGACACCCCTGTAAAAGTGTGGCTCCTTAAAAGACTACCCCTCAACACACTTTGCAAACAGCTGTGTTAACAGAATTTACACTGAGGAAAAATAATAAGAATATTGCACTCTCATTATGTTCCCATAAAACTAGACTGTCAAAACTAAACAAATAGCAAGAATGACAATTAAAACGGTGAGTCAGGCTCCTTGCTCTTCCAAAATCCACCCTAGTTTGAAACATGAGGAAGTAACACTGTGGAGAAAGAGGTTGATTGAAATGAGGATGAAAAGTTATGTATAATAAAAGCACTTGGCATCAAGTTTTGAGAGATAAAGATGAAGTCTAGAATATCAAATGCTTCTTTGGGGAACAGTAAAGGAAACAGTACGTTCTACTTCCCTTAGCAACAGTACAAGGAAATAAGACCTCAGAGCTCATGTAGGGTTATTGCGTAAATGTGAACAATTCTTTTTTTTTCTAAACTTGATTTACCAGCTGCTGTTATTCCTTCAGCTTCTGTTACTGAAGTCTTACACAAATGGGGAGTTGGCAAGGAAAATCTCAACATGGGCTGAAGTCCCAGACTCTTGTAGGTGAAAATATAGATAGTGAAGCTTGGCAGATACTGGCCATTGATCCTGTTTAAAAAGGGCACACATTATAGGGTCACCTGGGCAGTATTTTTCCCCTACTGGTTTGTTGTCCACCATACTTCCAAGCACACTATTAGATGTGAGATTGCTTCCCCCAAAGTAGAGGAGCATTACAACTATCTGGTGGCAGAGGATGGCTCCTTGTGCAACTGCCTACTTGTGCTGCATAAGTCCAACAGGATTCTGGCCACTTTGTCTTCAGTCTTTGCAGCTGTTTGATTCAGATAGTACGACTGTTGTGCCATCACACTGTAGACATTCGTTTAAACATTGCATTCTGTTTCAGATCCCAGAGTAAAAGGATGGCTTCTCCTGACCAACTACATGCCTACCTTCGTCTTCTCCATCTTATACTTACTAATTGTGTGGTTAGGACCAAAGTACATGCGGAACAGACAGCCATTCTCCTGCAGGGGCATTCTAGTCATCTATAATCTTGGACTTACGCTGTTGTCCCTCTATATGTTCTATGAGGTAAGAAAGGAAGGAACTGTGTCTTTCGTTTAAGAATTTTGTCTACATGCCATTGTTTTCTTATCCAGATTTCCAGGCAACCATGCATTAATTAGCTTCATTGGTCGTACAGTACTACATGTGATATATCAGACAGAGGTTGCCTGCATAGCAGGAAACTGGCTCCAGTGCAAAGTGGATCAGTTGCAACAGGGCTGGAAATCATTGTTCCCTTTTCCAGTAGAAAAAAAAGATGGGTATTTCAACAGCTAGGGTGAAGTCTGGGCAGGCCACAAACGTCTTCACCTGTTTCTTGGCCCCACATGCCTATTCATCGTTTGATAATAGTTCAATGTCCGGTAGTAATTGCCATGGTATAAATCAGACATCACAAATAGCTTTTCTGTCACTTCAAACACAGCAGATTTCAAAAGAGAGAGTTCAAAGGTTCAGCTGCAGGACACAGAGATTGCGCTATGTCCATACCTCGTAAGAAATAGCCATGAAAAAAAATAAGAGAATCAGAGCGGAAATGACTGCTTGGAAATTATCAATTCTTAAAGTTTCTGCTCTTAAGAAAGAAATGGGATATGTCGAAACATTTATTGTTATGTTTTAGCTAGTGATCAAGGACACCAAGCAGAGTGTCCTTCGCTGGATCAGTAAGGCTGCTCTGAGCCTGTTGAATAATCTATTATTATGTTGTTTAGGTGTGTAAGCTCCCTTCCCCAAAGACCTCTTGTAAGTTGTGAAGGCTTCCTGCATTCAGGATGTCGTTCATGGAGGTTAACAGTCCTGTTTTTTTCCATTATTGTTTCAAGACATTAAAAACCATGTTGTCTACCAAGCACTTGAAGCTCTTGTGGGGTGATGGGCACGGGGCGGAAGAGAACTTGTTCCTCCAGCCCAAGATGAGAACCCATGATGACCTTGTTAATGCGTCGTTTAGGTCTTCAGAGGCTTTGGCCTCCCTACCGCTTTCCTTAGCGCCACCCAATATGGCTAATCAGAAGGGATTAAACGAACTGTAGGCCCAGATATCTGGAGGGCCACTTCAGAACCAGGCCATTATTCAGACAGACTTTTTCGTGTTTGGAATGGGGGGATGGTATTAATAAAATATCAGTGCTCTAGGGCAATGGTCCCCAACATTTTCCAAACTGCGGTCCGGTGGGGGGAGTCTGTACGTGGGGGGCAGGGTGCACTTGCAGGTGTGTGGGGCTCACTTGTGCATATGCGTGTGGGCAGTGCATGCTCACACAGGAGGTGGGGTGTATGCATTGGGGGTTTTGCTCACACAGGGGGAGCAGACTGTGTGCAGGTGGGCGTGCGTGGGGGGAGGGTGTGCAGGGGTGTGTGTGGAAGGCTACGGACTGGCACCAGACTGGGGGTTGGGGACCCCTGTTCTAGGGGAGACACTAATGTTCTACTGTCTTCTACTAACATGTTTTTCCCAAAAGAAGAAAAACAGTGAGTCTGATGCTAGTACAGAGCTCCAGAAATGGAAACAGCAATATCACTCACTGAATTGTTGTTAACCACTAGGATTAAAACTAGCAGATAGTGCCTGTCCTGTGAGAGTTTATTCAGAAATAGGGCCTACTATGTTCAGTAGGGATCATTCCCAATCATGAGTGACTTTGGAATTGTAACCTGTGGGTACTTGCTTCGCCTTTTCTCCCAGTCTCTCTTTGAGCCATACCGTTTGTTGCTGGTCAGACACAAAGCCCTCAGGTAGTGAAGGCGAATTGTACCTGAGATGGCATGAATGTAGGCAGAATAGAAGGTACAGCTCACAGAATTCACTATGTTTTGAACATAATTGGTTTAGAAAACCAACCCTAGTCTTTTCAGCCAGCTTGTAGAAAAAAAATCACCTATAATGAATATCCAAACTGGTCCTTCACAAAGCTAAAGTTACAACAGTCTAAAAATATTGCTCCAAAACAACGGGTCCTGAAATGTTTGTGATAGCCAGAAATCTTTGTCATGTCTGGCCCTCTGTATCTCTCATAGTAACCAGAATCCAATTGCTTACACCCACTGGCATAAATTTGTTGGCATAAGTGGTGGATTGCCACTAATTCAGATTAGGTTCTTGGTGTTGTGCACCAGTTGCATTATTTCACATGCAACAAGTGCCTGTGTTGACTTCTTAAATTGCTGTTGAAATTTGCACCAGTGCACTTGCATTGGTGTGGCTTCTTAAGTTGGATTAACATGCAACAACAAGTGCCTGTGTTGACTTCTTAAATTGCTGTTGAAATTTGCACCAGTGCACTTGCATTGGTGTGGCTTCTTCAGATGGATTCCTGTTGTAGGTTCTTATGTTATTTCGGCCTTGATTGTATAGTAAAGTTGGATTCCTGTTGTAGTTTATGTTATTTCGGCCTTGATTGTATAGTATATCACAGAAGTGAGTACACCCCCTCACATTTCATAAATATTTTAGTGTTTCATAAATAATTACAGTGTTCAAGTGACAACATTGAAGAAATGACACTTGGCAAGTTGGATTCCTGTTGTAGTTTATGTTATTTCGGCCTTGATTGTATAGTATATCACAGAAGTGAGTACACCCCCTCACATTTCATAAATATTTTAGTGTTTCATAAATAATTACAGTGTTCAAGTGACAACATTGAAGAAATGACACTTGGCTACAATGTAACAAATACAGTGCTCAAGTGACAACACTGAAGAAATGACACTTGGCTACAATGTAAAGCAGCGAGTATACAGCTTGTCGTTGTTGTTTAGTCGTGTCTGACTTTTCATGACTCCATGGACCAGAGCACGCCAGGCCCTCCTATCCTCCACTGCCTCCCAGAGTTGTGTCAAATTCATGTTGGTTGCTTTGCAGACACTGTCGAACCATCTCATCCTCTGTCGTCCCCTTCTCCTCTTGCCCTCACACTTTCCCAACATCAAGGTCTTTTCCAAGGAGTCTTCTCTTCTCATGAGATGGCCAACATATTGGAGCCTCAGCTTCAGGATCTGTCCTTCCAGTGAGCACTCAGGGTTGATTTCCTTTAGAATGGATAGGTTTGTTCTTGCAGTTCAGGGGACTCTCAAGAGCCTCCTCCAGCAGCTTGTATAACAGCGTAAATGTGCTGTCCCCTCAAAATAACGCAACACACAGCCATTAATGCCTAAACCACTGGCAACAAAAGTGAATACAACCCTTAAGTGGCAATGTCCAGATTGGGCACAAAGTCTCAATATTTTGTATGGCCACCATTATTTTCCAGCACTGCCTTTACCCTCTTGGGCACAGAGTTCCCTAGAGCTTCACAGGTTGCCACTGGAGTCCTCTTCCACTCTTCCATGAAAACATCACGGAGGTGGCAAGTGTTAGAGACATCAGTAAATGTTGTAGGATTGCCATAAGTCAGAAGCAACTTCATAATACAAGCCCCTGTCCTCTCTTGCTGTGGTCCACATTGAGGATTTTTTGGCAGATGGCATACTTTATTATTGAAATTTGTATAAGAGAAAGGCTCAGTTGATGTAGAGGCTGATTAATTGACAGATTGATTGATTAGTTAAACTTTTGAGTTACTCACTGGCCATAATTCTATTAGTTACCTATAGTTCATATAAATTGCTGGTGCAGATGAGCCAAACTGGATTGGAACCATGCAAGGGAAGGGTTAAACTTTGCTGCCCCCTCACAAGCATCCAACAGTGATTGCCCATGAATATTTTTCAGTTTAAAAAGTACTAAATAGACATGCTACATATGGAAAATACATGTTTATCTGTGAGTCTTAAGTAATAGCTACTTGTTCCGTGTTTGCTGTCTGCTTGTAACAAGGCCCGGTGAATGAACTGGGGTGTGTCCATTCTTCTCTGCCTCTCGAAAGGGAGAAGAATCCCCATGCAAACTGAGTTAGCAACTTCTGCAAGAGATCTGGGCATAATCTAACAACTCAGAACTGAATTGCTGGTAACTGAATCCAGTCGTCCAGTTTGACAGCGAACATAGTAGGATGGATAGTACAGTGGGGTCTTGACTTGAGAACTTAATCCGTATTGGAAAGCGGTTCTCAAGTCAAAAAGTTCTCAAGTCAAATCTGCATTTCCCATAGGAATGCATTGAAAACCATTTGATCTGTATCTGCTCTTTTCCCTCCATAGAAACTAATGGGAAGCTGCTATTCCGCCTTCGACCACTAGAGGGGGATATTTTGTTTCTTTTTTTCTTAGGTCAAGAAAGGTTCAGGGAAGGCAGGGAAAATACAGTCCAGGCGGGACAGTACCAGGCAGTCCGAAGACTGTCTCCCAATCCACTCTCTAAACGCTGGGAGGAGTGAGGAAGCAGACAGGCACCCTTTTCACTGGCCAACAGTTAACTGAAAGTTCAAATTTTGCACTTTCCCTGCCTCTCTCAAAAGGGAGGAGAATCCCCATGCAAACTGAGTTAGCAACTTCTGCAAGAGATCTGGGCATAATCTAACAACTCAGAACTGAATTGCTGGTAACTGAATTCAGTCGTCCACTTTGACAGCCAACATATTAGGATGGATAGTAATTACAATCATGTGCATCAATCCATTTTCTGGGAAAAGGTAGTACGGATGGAGTGGGCACCTGACTTCTCTGTGCAGTCCAGAGATTAGGAGGGTACTATGCCAACGGAAGGAGTGGGCACAGTTCTCCGTTACACGGAAAGGATCTCAAAGCAAAACAACCAGCTAAGCTGTTGCCACAGAGCTGGTGCTAATACCGTAGGGGATAATTAATGGTCAAGCCTTTGTCTCCACGTGTGCCCAAGTTTTTTTCTCAGCTCAAACATAAGAGTACTTGCACTGCTGGAAAGTTGGGAATGGAATCCACCATTACAGGAAATGATAGCTTGTTGCGAAGACAAACTGGCGAACAATAGACAAATAAATAATGCTAGCAATATTCCTATGGTGAAACTCAGTATGGCCCAAGAAGAGGGTTTTTTTTTTAGCAAATGATATGCTGTCTTTTGATAGCACTGCCAAAGGGGGTTGGGATTGGGAATTGTCTATCAGTACTTGCAAAATAAGCGTCTCCCCCCCCGAAACTACTACTGCTACTAATATACTGATCTGTAAGAGTGATTCATAGCAAAAGATTGCTGCTTTTTACATTGCCCCTGTGTCTGATCTTCAAATAGCTTAGGGGGGGCCATACCTAGCTCCCCAATCTCATAGCACTGTAACCTAAGCCAGGCTGGGAATGATTGTCCTCAAATCTTCTAGTGAGCTTCATGATTGAGGCGGGATTCAAATCTGGACGCCGATTCAACCCTAATAGTCTGTGATATGTACTATTTAATTGTGATAGTACATAACACAGACTGCAGAAGGTTTGTAGCTGGCTTCGGGTGGGGAAAAAAAACTCAACTGGCGTGTTTTTGGAAAGAGTCTCTCACATGCATAGGCCTGTTGATTTGGTGGATGGAGTGGGATGGTTGACATTAACTGGCATTGTGTGGACCCCTTGATGTTGTTGGACTGTATGACTCCCGAAGGCAGGCCAAGGCAGCCTAGCTGTTGGAAATTCTAGTTCAACAACATCTGGAGAGCTGTATATCCCGCAGCTGTGCCATACAACAAACGAATCACAACTGTTTATTAAGTCCTTTTGATATTTAAAAATAAATTTTCTCAGCCCATAAAAACTGCATATACTGTAATAAACGGTTTGGGACCTCAGTATTTGGCAGATCGCCTCCTCCCGCCCAGATCCACCCGAATCACCCGACATAGCCAGCGGGGATGGTTGAGGGGCCTGACGCCAAGAGAGGCCTGGAAGGAGAAAACTAGAAACCGGGCCTTCTCGGCGGTCGCCCCTCGGCTGTGGAACACACTCCCCACTGAAATCCGTCTGGCACCATCGCTGGGGGTTTTCAAAAGCCAATTAAAAACTTGGCTGTTTAAACAGGCCTAACCCCCAGTCAATTAAGTGATTTTTTTTCTTTTTCTCTATCTTTTTTTCCCTTTCTTTTGTATACCACCATCTTGGAAATCTGTTGTTTAGAACTAATTAGTATAAATGCATTTTATATGTTTTTAAACTTGTTTTAACTGATGTAAGCCGCCCCGAGTAGACATTGTCTAGAGGGGCGGGGTAAAAATCGAATAAATAAGTAAATAAATAAATAATACTTTTTCTTGTGCCTTATTTCTGTTTTCAAATTTGAGCTTTTTCGTTGAATTGAATTTCCGCTTCTTGTGATTGGGCACTTTGCTGAAACTGTCTACAGACGGGTCAAGTCTAAAATTAAACTTGTATGTTTTCCTTAAGAATGTTTCTTGTGCTGCCTGTCAACCAGGAGGTTTAAAATAGAAGGCCCAGAACATTCCCGTTTTGAAAGACAGATTTCACTTTGTTTCATAGAAGTAAAGTAGATGGAATTGATTTAAACCTAGGTGGTAAGAAATTGTCCATTGGAAAATAAATAATTTTGTTTTGATGCTTAAGTGTCCCTCTTTTTCTCTGGTAAAACAGCTTTTGGAACCTGTTTGAACACAAATGTCTGTGAAAGAAACCAAAATAAGTGCATGCTATAAGTTCTTCCAGATGAGGCTTTTATTGTGCAGTCACCCTCCTCATTCATGGATGTCGTCTATTTGTTTGACCTGGGCCTCAATGTGCTCTGTTTTGTCCACCCTCAAGGTTGCCCGCAAAGATTTCCACTCCTACCTTAAAATCCCATGGATATGATGGTCTTGGTACTTTCTCCACTTGCAGTTTTTGAAATCCTCACTTCAGGTATTAAATGTGTATGTATAATGTTATCAACAATGGGTTATTGTATTCTTTTTCCATTAGCTGGTGACGGGAGTATGGGAAGGAGGATACAGTTTCTTCTGTCAGGACACGCACAGTGGAGGTGAAGCTGATATGAAGGTAATGTTTATAAGCTGACTGTCCTGCTTTGCTTTTGCCTCTTGCACTGAGAGTAAAGGTCAGTACATGTCTCATGTGCATGAGCACCACATGCATGCTTTGGAAGGATGTGCACTCACCTGTATTAATGCAGCTGAAAAATAGGCATGCTGTAACTTGCGTAGCCTAGCAGCACTTTGAAAGAGAAAAAAAAAGAAAATAAATCAAGAGAGAAATCAGAGGACACTGTGATACATATGTCTGTGTCTTATGGACTAATTGTTTTACCTGAAAAGCATTTTAGGTGTGGTGCTGTCAGAAAGACAGGGAATGTGATTTGCCCAAGTTTCGGTAGGATGCTATCAAGAGCGACACCACTGTGATCTGAGGGCTGCATTTGGACATCACGACATGCCAGAATCCAGCTTGTTAATCACAAGCCACTGTGCTGTCTTATGGTGGGAGTAGCTAGACCACTCCCAGCCCTCCTGTCCTTGGTTTGTTTGCCATGACATGCAGATCCCACAGTGAACCCTTCTTACATGTTTCTGTTGCATGCCTCTTTACCTAGAAGCTGGAGAAACCATCTAAGGTTCATATTGGGGTTCATTCTGCGTTTTGTTGGAGGGAAAAATGCTAATTTACCGCAGATTTTTGAATGGTCAGGACCCAGCACAGCTTGTGGACCTATTGCTCTGAAACAGCAGCAAGAAACCAGTCTTTAATTTGAAACCTGTAGCCCCATGCCAGGATTTTATACCTTACCTAGTTTGCAGGATTGCACTATATTTTGTTGTTGTTTAGTTGTTGTGTCCGACTCTTCGTGACCCCATGGACCAGAGCACGCCAGGCCCTCCTGTCTTCCACTGCCTCCCGGAGTTGGGTCAAATTCACATTGGTAGCTTCAGTAACACTGTCCAACCATCTTGTCCTCTGTTGTCCCCTTCTCCTCTTGCCCTCACAGTTTCCCAACATCAGGGTTTTTTCCAGGAAACCTCCATATCTTCCCCTTCTATTTCCCAGGAGGTGATGGGACCAGTGCCCTGATCTTAGTTTTTTTGATGTTGAGCTTCAAACCCTTTTTGGCGCTCTCCTCTTTCACCCTCATTAAGAGGTTCTTTAATTCCTCCTCCCTTTCTGCCATCAGAATGGTATCATCTGCATATCGGAGGATGTTGATATTTCTTCCAGCAATCTTAATTCCGGCTTGGGATTCATCCAGTCCTGCCTTTTGCATGATGTATTCTGCATATAAGTTGAATAAGCAGGGGGACAACATACAGCCTTGTTGTACTCCTTTCCCAATTTTGAACCAATCAGTTGTTCTATATCCAGTTCTAACTGTTGCTTCCTGTCCCACATATAGGTTTCTCAGGAGATAGATAAGGTGGTCAGGCACTCCCTTTAAGAATTTGCCATAGTTTGTTCTGGTCGACACAATCAAAGGCTTTTGCGTCGTCAATGAAGTAGAAGTAGATGGTTTTTCTGGAACTCTCTGGCTTTCTCCATAATCCAGCGCGTGTTAGCAATTTGGTCTCCTCTGCCCCTTCGGAATGCAGCTTGTACTTCTGGGAGTTCTCCATCCACATGCTGCTAAAGCCCACCTTGTAGGATTTTGAGCATAACCTTGCTAGCGTGTGAAATGAGTGCAATTGTACAGTAGTTGGAGCATTCTTTGGCACTGCCCTTCTTTGGGATTGGGATGTAGACTGATGCCTACCTTCAGCAAAGACAGCCAGTGTCTGAAACCACATTTCCCTGTGCCATTGTCATCAGAAAATTGTCTTCTGAAAGCTGTTGCCAAACTAGAACAACAAATTGGGATAATCATACCCAGACCTGGATGTCTGAATTGTGCCTTTGTATCAGAGAAGCATACATGGGGGAAGCAGCCCTTTTTATACTCATGTAACCATATTTTTGAGATTAGGTTACAGGATGCTTCCTTTCTCAAAGGAACAAGATCTTGAGTTCCTTCCCTTTATTCACAGTCCCTTGGATAGGTTATTTTTAAGACTACAACTCCCAGAACCCCCCAGCCAGCACAGATAGTGACCACACTGTCAGAGCAGGTCCAAACGAGGTTATTACAAAACGAGAGATAGTGACCATGCTGTCAGAGCAGGTCTGGGAACTGCAGTCCAAACGAGGTTATTACAAAACGAGAGATGGGCATGAACCTTGTTTTGGAAGTTCGTGCTGGTGCCATGCATTCCCTACTCCCCCCACTTTCCTAGCTGGATTCCCCCACTCACCAGCCAGAGCATGCTCCTCTCCTCCTCCTCTTTGGCTGTTCAGCCAGTCTGTGGCAGGAGCAGAGGGTTCCCTGCCCCACCTCTTTGGCTGGTTGCCCACTCAGACAAGGAGGCAGGACAGGCAAGCCTGTGCTCCTGCTAGAGACTAGCTGAACAGCTGAAGAGGAGGAGGAGGGGAACATGCTCCGGCTGACCAGGAAGTAGGAGAAGGGAATGCGTGGCATCTGTGGTGCCGCACATACAAACCGATACAACCTCCAAATCAAGGTTTCGTGCCCATCTCTATATGAAACCTCTGATTACCACTGTGAATCTTGAGGAACTTTTTGTCTTTCTGTTGAAGTAGGAAAGGATAAAAAAGCACAGTCTTGTGAAGATGGCGTATGAATTAAAATAAGCAGTAGCACTTCTGCTCTTGATTCTTGATCTTTCTCTATTTGAAGATGGTATGAGTTACCTTTTAGAAAATATGAAAAAGAAGGTCCTTCCTGGCGGGAAGAACTCAGGAGATGGTGCTGGGGGACTTTTATTTGACACTCTAGTCATTGGCCTGTAATGCCCCTCGGGATTCTGTTTTGTTTCCTGTGCTATTTAACATCTACATAAAACTGCTGGGAGAGATTCTTATTTGTTTAAAATTTATATAAGGTACGAAGATCAATGGAACATAAAGAACAGTACCACAGTGAACAGCAGAATTTAAAAAGCAATAAATATAATGCAGACATCTCACACCCAAAATACTAAAGCCAGCAGTAGTTGTTATTTTTTTTAAGGCAACTTAGGAAAATATTGAGAAAAAACAATTAGAATTAAAGCAGACTCTGTGTCTCCTTTTGCATAGGTTCTTTCACTGGTAGACATCTGCTTGTCATATCATCTGATTTTTGTGACCTACATATCTTGCATTTAGCATGCTTTGATTTGTAATTGGTCACTGCAATGTGAACATGGGTTCCATTTGCAACATCAGATCTGATTGTTGAGGCATGGGCCTCCAAAGAAATCCTATGGCATTAACTCAGGGAATGCACAAATCCCATAATCTCTGGGAAGGCTTTTCTGAAGTGATGGAACTTGACCATCTTGAGTTGGCAGGAAAATTTGCATCTACGGAACCACATTTGCAATTGGTCACTGCAATGTGAACATGGGTTCCATTTGCAACATCAGATCTGATTGTTGAGGCATGGGCCTCCAAAGAAATCCTATGGCATTAACTCAGGGAATGCACAAATCCCATAATCTCTGGGAAGGCTTTTCTGAAGTGATGGAACTTGACCATCTTGAGTTGGCAGGAAAATTTGCATCTACGGAACCACTTCTGAAAACTATCTGTTCTTCAGATCAGATTATCCCTTACACTCTGGGAGTATCTTCATTTTTCTAAATTGCAGATTTGTTTCCAAGTTCCAAAAATTGAGTTGAATAGTTTCATTCCTGCTAGAGTAGACTTAGCCCAAATGTCTGGATTTTCAGTATTGTTATCTGTTGACTTCCTGAGGAAATGTTTCTCCCTCTCTGGATCAGCAGTCTTCTGTGCTTCATTCCCACCAGGCTGAAGACGGTGGTTTCCTTTTAGGGCCTTTTGTTTGCTGGATCCAGTTGTTCTTCAGAGATCACTAGCGCAGCATGGAGACTAAACCTCTCCCTTGTGTCTTTCATGGCACCTGAGGTTTTCTTTAATAGATGTACCAGTGATTTTATCTTTTGCTACATTTACAGCTTCAGCTTTATAGCAGCTGTCCAGACAGCTTTTTCCAGCATGCCCAAAGCCTTTACCACCCATGCCATAAGGCAGAGGTGTCATACTCAATTTCATCTTCCCATGCCATAAGGCACAGGTGTCATACTCAATTTCATCTTGGCCCACATCAGGATTATGGTTGCCCTCAAAGGGCTCCCGCATCAGGATTATGGTTGCCCTCAAAGGGCTGGTTGTATCTGTAAGTCTATATAAATGTATCTACTCTTAATCATATTAAATATAATCCCTATTAAATTATTACTATTTTTAGTAATAATGTAAGTAATAACTAGCTCTGAAAGTAAGTCTGTCATCAAAGTCTAGAAATGATCTGTAAGTCTGTCATCAAAGTCTAGAAATGATGGCAAGCAGATATTCAAGTGTACAACTACTGTACAATTTATTGAAAAGTGAGTTTTAGTAACACCCGTTGACACCTGCTCCACAGCCCCACCTGTGTTTGTTTTTTTAAATTATTCACCGAAGTCTCCCACCTTTTTCCCTCGTGCTTGCCACAACCCTCAGCCCTCATTACCATCTGGCTCCTCACTCACTTCCCTAGCCAATGTGGTGGAGGAGGTGGAGAGGCTGCTGCCAGGTGACACCATCAAACAGTCCTTGCCAGGAGTGAGCAATAGCAAGGACTACATTTCCCAAGGTGCTGTACACCGCCCAAGCGGCTGCACTTTCTGACTCTTCGCTGCTTGGAATGCTGGGATGAGAAGTCTGACTGGGCTAATTCCCAGCATCCTTGCAAAGCATTATGGGTGACCGAGTAAGCCCCTGCGTATCGTATGCAGTACAGAAGCAGGCAACACTGTGTGGGCGACATGAAATGGCCTGGCGGGCCTAATTCAGCCTGCGGGCCTTGAGTTTGACACATGTGCCACAAGGCATCTGACCTCATCGTGAACAGCACACTTCCTCTCTCTTTGTGTTGTGTTGCAAACTGGCTTGGAAACCCTTGAGTTAAGGAACTTGGGAGTTTGCCTTATGCTGAGTCAAATCATGGGTCCACCATGGGTCCCATCAGCACAGTATCCTGGCTGCCAGAAGCTCCTCCATGAAGAAGAAGTAGTCTTCTTCTCAGCTTTATCTGGAGATAGTGGGGACTGAAGCTGGGACTACACTAAAATCAATAAAGTTTTTATTCATTCTGGTGTAGTCAATTAGCATGAACTCTTGTCCCGAACCCATCCCCATCTCTTCTACATTATCCTCCCATCCTTCAACAGTAACCCTATGTACATGATAAGAACTTGGTAATGTAATTCAATATACGTAATTCAGTCGCACACCAGACAAATTGAACACTCGGAGGGACAAATGATGGTGGGGAGAAGGATAATTGAAGAAGATGGGATGAAATGGGAAGAAACAGCTCTCATATCTAAGTATCAAACAATTCCAAGAACACGGGCCAAATATAAACATTGTGTGTGTTTGTGTGTTTGTACAGCGAACAAGTAAAGTGTTTGTGTTTCTCTCTCTCTCTTTCATTAGATCATACGTGTCCTCTGGTGGTACTACTTCTCAAAGCTCATTGAATTTATGGATACAATCTTCTTTATATTGCGAAAAAATAACCATCAGATCACTGTTCTTCATGTCTACCACCATGCAACTATGCTGAACATCTGGTGGTTTGTTATGAATTGGGTGCCTTGTGGCCACTGTAAGTATGCTTGTCATTCCTGATGGGAGAATCATGTGCATTTCCCAAGGGGTCTGTGTTGTTTCTAAGAAGGATGCATTCATGAAAATGTACATATTGACTTCTCAGGAAAAAATACTAACTTTGAGTGGAAAACTCTTCTTTTGTATGGGTTTTGAATAAATTCCTAGCAGTATTAAGATGAAATACACTGTTAATCTGATAGAGCTATATATTTGTCCCCCCCACCCCCACCAAGGAAGGCCTTTTGGCTTTAATCTAACTATTTGGTGTTTTCTTAATAATCCTGCGTCTTTATGTGCAAACTTTCCAGTAACTTGAGATCAAAACATTGTCCTTGTGTTCCTCAAGTATCTGGTCATGAGGATGCCCCTTGTTTTCTCTTATGTAGCAGTTGCAATGAAAAATGGCTTTGTTGATTTTTGTTTCTTTTTTCTCTTCCTTTTTGCAATGTGATTAATGCTTTCCCTACTTGATTTTTGTCATGTTAGTGGGTAGCTTGTGGTATGATTTTCATTTGGTATCGGACGCCCCAAAGAGCACTCACTGGAGGCTGCCAAAATGTAATTGGGTGTGGCAATGGCTTCCCAGGAGCATCAAATAACACTCGTGACCTGCTTGTTGGGTACATGCCTATGAATTCTGCCCCCACTCCTGCCTATGGTCTGAGGCGTAGGCGAAAGTGGCATGAAGCAAAGCAAAGCAAAAGCGTGCTGCTTATATACTGCCCCATAGCGCTTCAAGCACTCTCTGGAGGTTTACAAGTTAATTATGCAGGGTACACATCCGCCGCCCCCCCCCGCGTGAACTGGTTACTCATTTTACCAACCTCGGAAGGATAGAAGGCTGAATCAACCTTGAGCCGGCTCCCTGGGATTGAACCCCAGGTCGTGGGCAGTTTTGGCTGCAGTACAGCGGTTTAACCACTGCTCCACGAGGCTCAGGGATTGTTGCTTTTGCTCCAGAGTAAGAAAAGAGGGAGACAGGCTTCAGCAGCAGTTAGATGCTCTTAGTGAATTGCAAACTTTGCATGCAGATGCATATTTGGATGTGTGGGTGGCTTGTAGTCCCAACAAGAGTGTGCCTCTCATGGAAACCTTGGCATGAGCCCCCACCCCATTTGGACCATGAGCTACCCCCAGCTGGACTTGAACTTGCCTACTAATACTTGTTCCTGTCAACCTAGCAGTTTGAAAACATGTAAAAATGCGAGTAGATAAATAGGTACCACCACGGTGGTAAGGTAACGGTGTTCCGCGTCTAGTCACACTGGTCACATGAGCACGGAAACTGTGTACGAATGCTGGCTCTATGGCTTGGAAACCAGGAAGAGTACGGCGCCCTAGAGTTGGATGTGACTGGACTAAATATCAAGGGGAACCTTTACTTTTACTAATACTTGTATCAGTGCCAGTCATTGGATAGAGCCTCTGTGTTTGCTTTGTGTTGGGAGTAGGCAGTTGTGGAACTGCAACTCCCATCAGCCCTGGCCAGCATAAGTGAGGAATCATGGGGGTTGGAGTCCAAGACCTTCTCGACCGCCATGTCTTCCTTGTCCTCCCTCCTCCCTTAATATAATAGTATTAAGTATAGCTTTCCCTAAGCACCTACTGAGGCTGAACAGCTATTATTATGTGCAGCTGAATTACAACTTGTGAAGGAGCTGGGGATTGACTACAATTTGTACAGGGAAAATGCAATCTGAGCCTGCCTTCAGGGAAAAGGCATGATAATTAAAGCAGTTACACCCAATTTACGTGGCAGATGTGATTGTAGACAGCCAAGCTGTAGCTTTCTAAAATACAGTTGTTTTTATGCCACTTAAAAAGGTTCTGCAGGGTTAATTTTACAGTTTATTTAGAACAACGTTTTACATGTTACTGTTGTTGCTGCTGGCATAATGCACATTGTTACAATGGATATTCAAACGGTCTCTCTTTTTACCTCTCATAGCCTATTTTGGTGCCACCCTTAACAGCTTTATTCATGTCCTCATGTATTCCTACTATGGACTATCTGCTGTTCCATCCATGCGTCCATATCTCTGGTGGAAGAAGTATATCACTCAGGGACAGCTGGTGAGTGGTGTTTCATAGTCTTTTTAAATGTGTGTGTTTAAGTGTGTGTGTGTGTGGGGGTGCAGGATCTCCAGTGTGTCCCCCTGCTTGTGGCAGGCTTTCTGTTCATTCTGTGCTCCAGCCACAGAAATGAATGCAGATGCCTATGCAGCCAGTGGCAGGAATACTTGTGTCAACCCGTCACTTAATGTTTAATAATCTTTTACTACATACAAAGAGAGCCAGTACGATTTAGTACAGTGGATCCCAACCTTGGTTCACCCAGGAGTTCGTGGACTGCAACTCCCAGAAACCCCAGCCAGCACAGTTAGTGGTGAAGGCTTCTGGGGTTTAATAATCTTTTACTACATACAAAGAGAGCCAGTACGATTTAGTGCAGTGGATCCCAACCTTGGTTTGCCCAGGTGTTCGTGGACTGCAACTCCCAGAAACCCCAGCCAGCATAGTCAGTGGTGAAGGCTTCTGGGAACTGCAGTCCACGAACACCTGGATTATCCAAGTTTGGGAACCACTGGTTTAGTGCATAGAACACCTGACTAGAATTCAGGAGACTTGGGGTCAAGTTCCTGCCCAGCTTTAAAAACTCAAGAGAGGTCAGTGAGGCTTGGCAATGGTAAACCACTCACCGAGCATCCTACAAACCTCAGAAATCTTATTAAGGTCACTTGATGACTTGTAACCACAACATAGGAGACTGTTGGGTTGATGTATTACTGCCAAGCTTTTATTTGGTACACATGGAAAAAAACAGAAGTTAGAGATTTAGGCTGGGGGACCTTCAGCCCTTTAGATGATCACTTGATGACATGTAACCACAACTCCATAGGAGACTGCTGGGTTGATGTATTACTGCCAGACTTTTATTTGGTACACATGGAAAAAAAACAGAAGTTAGAGATTTAGGCTGGGGGACCTTCAGCCCTTTAGATGGTTTGGGTATCATCTCTCTGAAGCACCAGCCATTGTCACCAATGGTAAGGGATTATGGGAGTTGTGGTCCAATTCATCCAAAGGGCCAAAGATTCCTGAGTTAATCATGATGCATTAGCTGGACCATCTAATGCTTATTCAGTTTCTTGCAAAGAATGCTTGAGGGCAGTCTAGTGGAAGAAGACATTTAGAATGTCTTTAAATGAGAGTATGTTCCAAATGCAGATTAATCTCACTTAGTTGGTCAGGCATCTGGAATATACAGTATCTTGTATAGAAAATAAACTGGTAGTATGTGGGGATTCTAAAGGTGTGTGGAAATAAGTCATTCTTCCAAGGCTGAAGCTGGCAGACTCCTACTAGATTTAATGGGGACACTTCTTTAGGTAATGAAGGCTTCCTCCTGCAAGTCAAAATCTGTGCAAGAGGAGGGAGATATGTAAGCTAAATACAGAGGACAAGTTACAGTACTGCACAGTCATTGCTTACAACCCTCTTGGGTAGCAGCATAGGGATCCTTGTCACCTGTGGGCCAAGCCATGTGACATGTCTTTAGGTTGCCACTGTATATAGGAGATGATTGCCTCTAGTCATTTTTCCATTGTTGTAATCTATCCATATTTCTTCTGTACTAGTTGAGTTAAATGGCTTCAGCTCAGTCAAGTGGCCTGAGGGTTCATCTTCTAAGGGGCCAGGCTTGTAGAAAGCAAGCGGTGCCATCCAGTCTTCCACATGGGGAACAGTAGGGCAGTTCGGACACAGATAAAGAGGGCACAGACATCAGTCCCTGTGGGCATCAGAACGAAAAGCAACTACACAGCATAGATATTTGAGCATTGTAGGGAAGTGCTTGAGTCTGCTCCCGTATTGTTGGTCTTTTTTTTTTTACTTCTTCTTTTCCTTCTCTCTCTCTTGTTTAATTCTACAGATTCAATTTGTCCTGACAATCTTCCAGACAAGCTGTGGGGTTGTTTGGCCCTGTCGGTTTCCAATGGGATGGTTGTATTTCCAAATAGGCTATATGATCTCCTTAATTATTCTTTTCACAAATTTCTATATTCAGGTAAATTATGTTAACTGTGAAATTTTATTACCGTGTTTCCCCGAAAATAAGATAGGGTCTTATATTAATTTTTGCTCCAAAAATGCATTAGGGCTTATTTTCAGGGGATGTTTTATTTTACAGTCATGTCATCTTCTTCCGGTTGCTGCACAGGGGTGGAGGGTGGGGTTTCACTTAACTGGGGCTTACTTTGGGGGTAAATCTTATATTTCAAGCATCCTGAAAAATCACACTAGGGCTTATTTTCAGGTTAGGTCTTATTTTCAAGGACACAGGGTATCTATTAAGTTAACTGTTAGCTATTGATGTTTTAGCCTGTTAGGTAAACAGCTGGCTGTTAATTTTGATTTTTTTGGGATAACTTTTTTAAATTGCTGAATTGTTCATATCGCTCAATGGACATCTAAAACCTTTAGATAATTAGGTGCCAGCACAAGACATGCTTGTCTGCCTCCATTTCCCCATCAGTTTCTCAGTTACTTTGAAACTGTATTGTGCAGTTCAGGGGGATAAGTTTTATCAATAATCAATGTGGTGGTAATTCTAAAGGTGTCTTTAAATGCAGTGGGCAAACCTCTCTTGGGATTTTATACTAATATAACCAGACAGCATAACTTTTGGAGGCAAAATGCCACAAGTTAAGAAAAACCTATATACATTATCTGCTCTGCACCAAGTGCTGCAACTCAAGATGGAAGAGAGAACTGAAGAGCTACCCTATTCATGTTATACTTGGAGAGCTAACTAACAGACAGGATTTTTATTCATTATTTAATTTAATTTTCACCCCACCTTTCTCCTTGAAAAAAACCCAAGGCAGCTTACAACAATAAAAGATAATATTTAAAGTTGAAAACAATGAGTATACAACAGTGGTTAACGTCATTAAAAGACTATGTTTAAAAATGACAAACAATGAATAAAGAGGCATCTTACAACATTGACAGGCAATATTTAAGGCAAAGATAAATAAGTATACAAAAATTTTAAGAAGTCACTCTGAGAAATGGAAAACACAGAAGTGGAAAACATAAGTAGTACTAAAAATCCAGTCCAAGCAGTAATGCATAATTTGCGGCAGAAGAAGAGAAAATCCAGAGCACAAGGGGAGTAGGGTCAGTCTCAGAACATCTGGAGAGCCCTAAGTTGCCCAACCTTGACCTAGAGTGAATAAAACTAAAGACTAGACTTAATTAATGTACACTGGGGAATCCCCTCAGCCAGCTTCCCACATGTGACAAATGAAGGGAGGCAGTTGAATTGGGAGGAGTACCTGCACTCACTGGGAAGCATCTCCTGTCCAGGAGGTTCACTTTTGTGACAGAAATGCACTTCCCATGACCGCTGTTGGAACTCTGTGTTAACAAGGCAAGAGAAGACTGCCTTCCATTTGTTTCTCTCTTTAAAAAAAAACATTGTCCCTAAGCTGCCAAACTGCATGCTGTTAAAGGAGGAAGGGCATGTGATACAGTAATTGAACAAGTGATACGGGTCTTTCTGACGAGGAAATCTGCTCAGCCTAGTAGCCAGAGCTACTTTATACTTTAGTCTTAAGTATGGAGAAACCCAGCTGTGCCGAACTTCCATTGACTTATGTTAGTTACAGAAAGTGTATTCATTTTCTGAAGCTATGTAAACAGTGTAGACTACATGTGTAGGTATGTGTTTCATGTATGCACTGTCAACAGGTGAAATAGTTTTGGGATGATTAACAAGGTATTAGAACTGGGGCCAATTATGGTAAGGTATCCAGTTAAGTTTGGATGCAGTGTATGTGATTATAAAGGTGAAAATACTTTTTAAACTGCTTTAGGCCTGTTGCATAATCAGTGCACAAGACAACCTGAAGTCGTGCTGAGTTCTCTCCTTTGGTAACTGAGGAAGAACAAGTGTACACAATAGCTCTAGATGCTTTACGTTGTAGGAGCCGAGGCAATTTTTTAAAATGTTGAAGAGGATGCTTTCTCAAACGCTGCGGGATGACATTTAGCCAGCTCCTTAAATGGTGGTAAAGACTAGGCAGGGAGAAATGAAACATTTCTAGTTGCAATTGCCCCAAACCTTCTTGTTTCATTCCCATATGAGAAGCTTTGGTTTATGCAAATAGTTGTACTGTTCACAGACCAGGATATCAAACCCAAGCTTTTCAAGATCCCTTTTTAAATTTGGGATTGTCTGCCTGTCGTGTCTGCACTAAACCCAGGCTGCTTGGCCTTAAGCCAAGACTAAGGTGTAGGTGGACGCTGGTCCAAAAACATATCATTGAATCCGTTCACTTGCCCCCTTCTTTTTTGTTTACTTATTTTTTTAAAAAAAATTGTGCTGTGGCAAAAATGTATGACGGTGTTTTGTGTGTGTGTTTTTTAGACTTACAACAAAAAGGCAACCTCAAGAAGGAAAGAATACCAGAATGGTTCCACGGCTGCTGTGAACGGGTACATAAATAGCTTTTCTTTCCTTGAGAACAATGTGAAGCAGAGAAAACAAAGGAAGGATTGAAGACCAAACTGAGAAACCATTTGGATATTCCGGGCAACTACAACAACAACAACGAAAAATCATCTGATTGTAAGCACAATATGTGTTGTGCACTGATAATTCTTGACAGCTACTGTAACTATTCCTGCCTAGAATAGTGTTGATTTATGTAGGACTTAACCAGTGCAAAACATCCTAGAAACTATCCATAGCCTAAAGTTGATGATGTTGATACTACTGGGTGGTCGCAGGCCCAGGTATAAACTGTGGAAGGGAGTATTATTGTAGTATATATCATATATACATTTATTTATGTATATATATATATGTATATATATAGACACTGCTGTTGCCTTACTAGTCAATATGATAGGTGCTGAACTATGATTCACAACTTCAAAAACTGTAACCCAAACTCATATTTTTTAACTGTAGATAATGCATGTGATTGTAATTTGTACAATGAAGTTGTTCAGTTAATTTTTATTTTTTTTATTTTATTTTTCAGTAGTTGAAAACACACATGCCTTAAAAGTTAAAATAAAAGCAGGGCCCAAAACTTAATACTGGTTTGAAAATGTATGGAAATGTTTTATTCTAGAGAACATCTCCTCGTGAGACAATTTAGACTCTCATACAGGTAGCGAAATAGCCAAGAGATATGTATCGTTTTGGTTATGCAAAGCACCTATGTATATAAGGATATGTTTTGTACGTGGCAGCCTGGGAAAAGCAAGGGATTCACTTGCAGATATTTCCTGTATGCTGTTTACCACCAGTGTCATCCATAGATCTTTGGAGGGTTCTCAAGTGTAAAATGGTTGCTATAAGATGCCTCTGGGTTTGCACCTTCCATGAGTCAACTGAACACAGTATGTGTGCGATGCAGTGTTGAGAGTCTGTTACATACTACCACAAAACTAGGAATGGTGGACATGCTGCTGACCGGTTTGTGATGAAAGACACCGAAAGAGGCCACACATTCCTGTCAGGATGAGAGAAGAGGAGGAGGAAGAGGAAGGAGAGAGATCACATCCTGCTGCGTATCTTTCTAGTTTTTATCTCTGGTCTGCAGAAGTATTTTGTAAACTCTTGATTAACATTTAATTTGCATAACTAATGGAAAGTTAATTGGCACTTAAATAATGTCTAGAGCAGGATCCTGACTCTCAAAGCCAAGGAGGGATGGGCAGGCTCCATGGGGCCAGAGGGCTGGTGTTCTGCCCTCAGGATTCTCTTATTAAAGCTCTTGATGCAGGCTTGAGTGGCAAGGGAGGCATAAAAAAAGAGACCGGGGCCATGAAAACAGGCACTTCCTCTCCTCTCCTCCAGCAGCTGTCCTCAACCTGGAGCTTCCAACTAGACTGTCACTCCCATCACTCTCAGCCAGTCTTGGGTGCCTCTGACAGTCCAGGGTGCAGCCCGATGCATTCGGAAGGCACCGAGCTAGGGAAGGGAGACAGGAGAGAGGAAAATATGGGTTGACCAGAGTTTCTTACTCCCTTTTTTTCAATTGTCATTTCCAGGTTACAGCCTGGAAGTGCTGCTCCGTCCATTGTTTAAAATTGCCTGCTATGTGTGAAATGAGCCCACAATGGGGGTCTTCTTTTGGGGCCCCTTCCTCCTATGGAAAGAATTGAGTAGGAGTCGCTACTGGCTTTCTCTCCTGTCCCACAGCTGCCCCACCCACCCCCACCCCTTTCACTTTGTCTCGTTTTAAAGAGACAGAGTCTCCCAGGAGAACCCCTCGCTAGCCCAGCTTAATGTATCTTGTGTCCTAACTGCAAAGCCGTTTGCTGGGAATTACCGGAGCGGTGATGTACCAACTTCCTTAGAAACAAACTCAGTTTGAAAAAGCGATTTCAGGGTATTTCTGACATTTCACATTTTCATAGTCAGGTTGGCATTTCAGTTGTTGTTGCTGTTTCTGTAGCAAACATTGGGAAGCATCTCAAGAATGAAAAGTGGCATTCCATGGGCAGAGCGGGACTTCTCTGCTTTCCTCTTCACCAAAAAAAAAAAAGAAAAGAGGGTCCTTGAGAATGAATGAAGTAGTACTGAAAGGAGAAGGGATGCTACAGCTGTAAGGGGAAACTGAGACATCAGGAACCTCTCCTAGGGCATATAAAAACATCTTCAATTCACACACACTTTAGTCAAACTGTTGACTTTAAAAATGTGCCTACTATGAAAGGTGGATTTTTTAATTTTTTTGCAAAATGTGCAAATTGAACCATAGGGATCCATGGAGAAAGGTGCAAACAAGTTCATGATGAATGTCTATTTTCTTTAACGTATGTTCCTCTCGCCTGTACTTTTTGCCTTGGTAAAGATTTATTTAGAAACACTTGTTGAAATTACTGTTTACTGTAAAATCATGCTCCCCACCCCACCCCCGCACTGGCAGTGCCCGTTGTAAAAGCAGGAGTCTGTTAACAGGTATACTCTGTAATATGGTGGAGTTTTAGTCTTTTAACATGTTGTTCACTGTAATTTGTGTCAAGCCATTCTATTGTTCAAATGCCCAAGTTTATATATTAACTGTGATTTGATATTTATATAAATATCTATTTTACAATGGTTTTGCACAGCTGATGTTAGGGAGCTCATATGTTTTCCTTTCAACCTTGCAGGTTTTTTATTTTTTATTTTTTGCTTCTTTTTTAAATGACAGGCAGCACCAATTTACTTGTGTGTGTGTGTATGTATGTGTTTCTTTTTTAAAATGCTCTCCACATTTGTGTGCTACGTGTCTTGGTTTCTAGGTACAGATTTGCAGTCTTTACATATTTCACACAGCAGCCTTACCATTCAAAGTATGCTGTCTAAATATGTGTGTGCTAAAATTTTAAAAAAACAACCCTTTAGCTTGTCTGAAATATTTGCATTGTTAATGTTTTGTGTTTAATCATTAAATCATTCTTGATTACCTGTACTTGTGTTTCAGTCTAGTGACATCTTGGTAAATTCAACCCAGATTTGTAGCTAACAGTAACTGCTGACAGTGAGTACTTTTATCTGTCAGTTCAGTACCTACCTTTTTGTGTGAGATGTGTCAAACAGAAATGGTGTTTGTTCTTGGACAACTGCACAGTATTCCTGTAGCAATCTATAAAGACCCAAATGCTCCACAAGGTGATAAGTGATCAAGAGAGAGTGGGGCACATTTGCCAGTCCAAGGCATTCTATCCTACACATCTGGATTTGAGCCTGAAAGACCAAGGCAAAATGTGGGTGCATGGAGAGGACGTTTAAGCAAGCATAATTAGTGATGCCGCATATGATGATCACTGACGTGACTCATGCTTTTTCAGTGTAAGCCTCAACTTTCCATTTCCTGGCTTTGTGGAGCTTGAGTTGACGTGAGGTAGCCTTAGCTCTGATCTTGAACTGGCGGGGCATTCTTCCCCTCTCTTCAAATTATTGAATGAATATGTAGTGGGTCAGAATACAGTGACCCAGGCCAAAAAAAGAAATGGATAGAAATGATCTAGTAAAATGACTTGAGTAGAAAATTGGCTTGCTCTTGTTGAGCAGCTCTTTGAACTTGGAGCTGGAGCATCCTCCTGGTGATGTGACATTAGCCTTAAGAAACCAGAACTGTTTATTTTCCAGAAACTTGCTGTGACTGCCGATATAATGGGCCTCATGGTGCAGTGCTTAAACTGCAGTACTGCAGCCAAGACTGCTCACAGCCTAGGTTCAATCCCGACAGGCTCAGATAGCCAGCTCAAAAGTTGACTCAGCCTCCCATTCTTCCAAAGTCAGGAAATTGACTAGACAGCTCGCTCCGAAGTGGAGGGGAGCAATGTGTAGCCTACAAAATAAAATTGCAAACATCCTAGAGAGTGCCTTCAGCATTATGGGGTGGTATATAAGCAGCACACTTTTTGCTTTGCTTTAACTTCAGCAACAGGATTTCAGCCAGCACAAAATATTATGAGCTGCCTCCAGGATGCTTTGAAAACTACCTTATTCATGATACCAGTGGTTCATCATACTGACCTGTCCATGAACCATGCACAAACATGATGGAATATGGGTGTAAGGGTGCAAAATGCTGCCACATGGAAGTAGGGCAAGTCTTTAAATTATGTTTCGAGTACTTGTGGCAGTGAAAGTAAGTGTTACATTGCATGGCAATGAGATTCCACTGGTGGGTTATGACATTCTGTCACATAGGAGACAGAAAGGAACAGGTAAAGCTTTTGTCTTCAGGCTGTAAATGAGAAATTATCATGGGCTCATCGTTCGTTTAGTCGTGTCCGACTCTTCGTGACCCCATGAACCAGAGCACGCCAGGCCCTCCTATCTTCCACTGCCTCCCGGAGTTGTGTCAGATTCATGTTGGTTGCTTCGGTGACACTGTCCAACCATCTCATCCTCTGTCGTCCCCTTCTCCTCTTGCCTTCACACTTTCCCAACATTAAGGTCTTTTCCAGGGAGTCCTCTCTTCTCATGAGATGGCCAAAGTATTGGAGCCTCAGCTTCAGGATCTGTCCTTCCAGTGAGCACTCAGGGTTGATTTCCTTTAGAATTGATAGGTTTGTTCTCCTTGCAGTCCAGGGGACTCTCAAGAG